CTTGCTAAGTCACAAGACTTCTTCATTACTGTCTCCAAAGTCAGTACCTCTTGCTATAAATACTCTGTCCTGGACACAATTCTGGATTCTTTACTCACGTATCTTGGCTTTCTATATTTGTCTAAAAGACAACTATTTTTAGGCTTGGAGAGCCTGCATTTCAATGAGAACACACTACAAGACAGTGCTACAGGACAGCATCAATCTTAGATTAATCAGACTTCACTAGTCTTACATTTTTCTATTTCAATAATACAAATGCTTATAGCTAAACACTAGTGCTAGTACATAATGGAAATAATGGAATTGTTGTTTAAGTCTAAAATACAAAAGAGAACTGAGTTTCCACAGTTTTTAAAATCATACCTATTCCTAACTTCTTAAAATAAATAAAATGAATACTGATATTGGTATGATTCACTGGTGCATTACTTTAGCTTATGCTGCCAAAATTCAGTCTGAATTTAGCGTAGTTATGTAGATGCCAGTGAGGAGAAGCGTTGTGATAAATCAGGCTCAAGACTTCAGACAGACATTCTCAGATATGCAAGAAATGTTTGCACTCTAGGTGGATTTTTTTTTTTTTTGTTTTGCTTGCAAGCACCCACGAAAAGTAAAGTTAATTTTTTTTCCCTATAGCTAGAGCAATGGTATCAGAAATCTACCTATAACAGTAATGCAGCACATATCAGAAAACATAAAAAATATTTTGCAGTTTATATAAACTTAGTAGTATATTAGATTGAAAACTTTTTTTTTTGAAAGCCATCATAATTTATAACAAAAATCAAAGTTGAAAAATAGCAGCAAATAAATGTAAAATAATCTGGCAACAGAGAGTCTACATACAATACTTACTATAGATTATATGATTTTGTTGCTCTTGTTTCAATCCTATAAATCATTCACAAAAAACACATCCTCATTCTGAGAACCTGGAAGTACAGAACATATCCCAAATACAGGAATAATGGTAGATAACCCACAATTAATTCTGATGAATAATTAATTCTGATTCAATTGTCTGTTATTGAAACTATCAATTAAGCTTCCATGTGTTTTCCCCCATTTAAAAACCTATCCAATTTCAGGAAAAAGGACCCATTTTACACTGCAAGTCAACTCAAGTTTTCACTTAATGTACATTTTAAACTGGCATAAAAAGAGGACTGGATCTTAAATTTTAACTTTTCTCAGAGATCTTGTTCTATCAGAAAAGGCAATACAAAAGACTGACTGCCATGAATAAATAGATAGAAGATGACAGCACAACACCCGACTAAACTCAATGGCAAACCTCCCACTACCTTCCCCGGGGCCAAATTATCACCTACAGAGACCAAGGGATTTGCTTAGGTTCTGAATCCAGATCTCTGCAGTTCCAATTGTATCTACCTGGAGGGCTAAGTCCCCTGTCCTACTGCTAAAACAAGCTCCCTGGGTTCAGGGTGTGAGTTTTCCATTCCCACCTTCCCCGGGTGCAGGCAGCAGACTGAGCGGGCGGCTCCATCCATGTCAGCAGAGCTGCACCTGCCTACACTGCGTCCAAGCCTCACAGCCCTCCTGCTCGCCCTGGCCGCCTGAGGAACACATGCCTGCTAGTGTCAGCACTAATGAATCCCAAAAGCTTTAATGCAAATAATGAAAAGGACCAGTGACACCAATTTTTACAGTAATGATTCACATAATTGGATTCTCTTCTGAGCAAAAAAAGCATCCATTCATTAATAGAACAATTTCTAATCATCTAAGCACTTTTAAACTTGGCTTTCAGATTTTTATTAGTGAAAGCTATGTTCTAGTAATACCAGAAGTGGAATCCCTTCAAAAACTTGCAAAAAAACATTCAATGTAAATTTATGTTGTTGCTTTGTTTTTAGACAATTGTAGAAATCAGATATGGAGTAGACCAATTGCATGACATGGTCCATTATGACACACTCATGTTTCATTGTTCCATACTGTGAACTTCCCTCTATTTTCCAGCTCCACAACCAGTGGTGCTCTGCACTTTTCCCCATCCTAGCACCTGGGAAAAGGTATTTCATTTCTTGAGGGTTTCATTAAGGTGGGTTTTTCTGTTGGTTCATTAATTCTGAGACAAGATTAGTAGCAACAGAAATAGATGGTATTTATTTTACAGAACCTGCTTATAGTGGTTACGTTTAATTCTTAAAAAGATAGCAGGTATATTTGTGAATTTTTGTATTTGTGAATTCATCCAAGAACAGCAGGAAGTTATTGACAATATTTCAAGTAAACGAATCAACTTTAACTAGTCTTGATAGGCTTTCTGTAAGGCAATAAAATTAATGCATTGATAAAAGCCAGAGGAAAAATAAACTCCAAGTACACTTGCAATTTTTCACTTTATATCAGAATATTCTTGAGCTCTTAGCCAAATAAGAAATAATAGAAAAGTATTTTATTAAGAGCATAATGAAATAAGATGACGAAGATGCAAATAAACAACTTGAACTAGGAGGGAGAATATGTCATTATTTCCAAGCTGCTGGGGTCCATTTACAGTACGTTTGCGGCAAAATGTTGAAAAGTCGTCAACTCAAATGTATTGTCACTCCAAAGTCATTAATTACTGTTAGGTCCTCTGTCAGTCAAGAGCCAATAGTGAACTACTGGCATTACTCTCATTTAGATGTTTCTATCATGTGTGTTTGTTCCTGTTCTGACTGAACCAGAACATCAGGTAAATTGTAAGATACATCTCCTCCGACACCTGCCAATAAATCACCAAAGGGAGAGGGGACAGTTTTAGCCCCAAATCCCCCCAGAGGGAGGAATTGTTTATTAGCCAGTCAAGTCTAGAAGATGACCCTAATATAACAAAGGGCTTATACAAAATATAACAATATAATGAACAGAGAAAGGAGCAGTGATTTCAGGGTAGGATACCCCAGGAGACCTCAGCAGGGAGACCGGCTGCCAGAGCTCTGCAATGGGGGCAGGGGGACGGGAGCAATTTCATCCCATGGATGGATGGCCCTCTCTGGGGATGAGCCCTCTGTCAAAGGTACAAAAGACACTCTGGTCCTCTCTGGGTTTTGTTGGGGTTTTTTGGTTTACAACCACTGGTGTAAAGCATTAACAAGGACTACCTGGCACTCATTTTGTCAAGAATTGAAAGCGAGACAACTGGATACAGGAAAGGGAAAAAATTTCTGAAAAAGTACCTCATCTTAGTTTAAGAATAGCTTGGTTATATTCCTCATTTTCTCATCTGTGTTCTTTAAAAAAAATGTATCTATCAGGGTTATGAATTAATAAATGCTTTTCATTTCCATTTACCTTATCATTAACCATTAAATAGATAGTTACCTGCCTTCAAGGTAAATCGATAATGACAAGATATTCCTTACTTGGAGACTGGCAAACCTATTAATGAAGACACCTGGGAAAACAAGTAGAATAGCTCCTCATCACACTAGTATCTAAGTCCAAAGAGTAACATAGCAGGGTTTTATTTCAACTACACACACCATGACGGAGAATTGTCTTTCAGTAGCTGACAGCAACCAAGAAGTATGGCCCTCTGGTATGTAGAAAGATATTGGTTGAATCCTGACAGTCACAGAAGTTATATTACAGGTGCTTATTCTAAGGTAAACTAAAACAAAACAAAACAAAAAGAAATATTTATGGTCGTTTATCCCTTTCCTTCCCTTCTTTCACACAGTGTGCAGTGCTCTTTTTGCCAAACATAAGATACAACTTACTAGGCACACAAAAATATTTTCTGCTGACTGCAGTGTTGCAATGATCTTAAACATGTTTGATTCCAGCAATAATCCAGTAATCTAACCTTCATCTTACAAAAGGGTGGGTAACTGCACCAATAACTACAATGGGGGGAGCATATTACACCCCTTATCACCATGTATCGATACAGAATGCTAAGGCACAGCCATCATTTGGGCAATGATCTACAAACGTATTAACTAACTAGTGATAGCTGCCCTTCCTCAACCCAGGTAACTCATCAGTAACAGCTCTGCTAACCACGCATGGCTTTCCCCTTCCACCACAACCATCCCCAAGGTGCAGAGAACAGGTTGCAGCCAGCCAGCCAAGCATCAAAACAACGACCAAGCAGCTGTTTTTCAGCCAGACAGGTGCCAGGATGCCACAGCACGGAACGCCAGCAGTGTGGGGTCACAACAGTCCAGATCTCCTTGCCACAGTCTCCAATGCACTTTATGTGCAGGAGACCAATGCTGATACCCACCATAAAAGCCTCCCAAACAGCTTTGAGGAGCCTTCAACAACACTGATTCCTCACAGCCAAGGAAAGTGCCACCAGGTTTCCCTAGTATTTCCTCAAGCAGAAAAGGACACACAAAGCCTATCACAAAAGCAGCTCTGGAATGCTGGCAGTGATGAAAGAGCAAGGTCACCATTCCCCCTATTCTCTACCCGTTGGCAAGGCAGGATTCAGTGAGAACACATAATTATTGGTCCCTAGCAATGCTATGTTCGGCACACATTGCTTTACAGTTCTGCCCAGGGTGCTTACAGAAGTTAGAAGATGACTTCTCACCTTCATGTCCAGCTTTCTGAGCCTATGCACAATCTTGACAGTGAATCCTCTGCTTTTTTAGTAAACACAGGGCAGCTTCCACACTATAAGCAAGTAAAGTCGCAAGTTCCTCTTATTTTCTCTAGTCTTTTCCTCACTCCCCACTGTGGTATGATCTCCTTATGGTGGTTCTTGCTGAGGAGGCCACCAAACCCAGGCTGACGTGCAGTTCCAGCAGCCCGTGCTGGGACAATGGTATTTTTGCTGCTGTGCACCCATCAGTGCAGCTCTTTGTCCTTTGAAAGTTTTTTTCCACCTTCCCTGCCTAACAGCCTAACATACATCCTTCGTCAATCATTGTTAATTATGATTTTCTGCTTTTGATGTAAAACTTTTCTCAGATAATCTAGATCCATTTTAATTTACTGTTATATTTTCAGAAGTAACTAAAAACTTAAATCCTTACCTTAAATTTATCAACTTCTGCCTTCGAACACGTTGCATGATAAGATAACACCTGCCCCAGAACAAAAGATAAAAAACCATTTTTGTAGGCTTGACACGTAGAAATAATAGGGTTCTGTACTGCAGTCTAATCAATGATGTTTAAAACAAATTTAATTAATATTTATGCATGGTAATTCAGTTCTGAATGTCAGCATATAATAACTAATTGCAAGTTATCAGGTATACATTTGGCATTTATGTTGCAGGGAATTTTATAGGGAATCATGGACAGTAAGTAATTTAATATTATAAGCATTCCTACATTGTTCTCCTGGAGTTCTACAATTAAAAGAGAAAGAATTTAATGTAAAAATAATAGTAGATTTATAGACTTTAAGTAATGCCTTTGCTATACTGTAAAGCCTTAATGCCTTTGCTAGCAGCACATCACTGCATGCAAATTAGCACCTCTATGCTATGCCTGACATTTTCTTCAATACTATTCTGGAGATGAAAGCATTAAATGTAATGCACAAAGTACTGCGCACCTCCTCTTACTACCTGTAAGTATGCATACATTTACATGGAATACCTTGTATCCGTATGTGACGATGCTAACATTGAACAAGCACTCCAGAAGGTGTGAAAGCCACCCTGTGTACTGGACCTACCAAGGCCTGACTCTGCGTGGGACGCGGTGCTGGTCTGTGAGGGTGCTCACAGAGCCAGAGCATTCCTAGCAAGGACAGGTCCCCCTCACCACATGGCAACACCGAATCTGCTTACTTGCTAAAGCTTCGATATACATTTCTCATTTTGAAATTGTTTTCATCTATGAATGTCTCTGTTACTCATAAAAATACCTAAACTCTATCTCAAATGTCCTGTGATACCTTGTGGCAAGAAGTCCCAAGATGTATTTACTTATATCAATTTTACAAGTGTCATTTTTTACAGTAACAGAAAATCATTCCTGCACTATAAAAGAATAAATAACAAACACCAATTTACTTGCTCTGTTCCACGGTTTTCTTTCTGTAACTATACATCATCTCCTTCCTCAAATAGTATCTGTTTTTCTGTACAACCATATCGTAGCTTCTCTCAGAAATGTGTAAGATGAGTAAAATTATGTCTCCTGCTATGACAGATTACACTTAATACCAAAATTCTCATCAAGCTTCTCCTTTATCTGCATTCATTATATCCCTCTAGATTTTTGCACTCTTCCTTAATATTGATTATTCTAATCTTTTAATAATTTGCAAATTTTGCCTCCTTACTATATAAAATAGTAGTTAGCCTGGTTTTGATTCATATGGCATCCTACTGACAACCTTTCACCATCATTTATTTACTTTTTGGTCTTCTATTTATTAGTCAATCTTATGAGAACTCTATATGAAAAACAGTATCTGTATATCTGGATAAGAATCTTATTACGATATATGTCAAACTGATTTATTCTGCACCTGATATCAATGTAATTTTCAAATGCCACTCATTCCTATCGTAACTAAATACATAAATACTGATAAAGTATTGTATTGCTGATAAATGTATTCATAGTCCTTCAGCATATACCGTTCTTTTGTTCACTACTTTTCTGCTGTATCTTCAATCACTTTACACAAATATTATCATGAGTTGTAGCTCATTTACAGAAAGAATTACTTTTCACTGAAGCATAGTGGCCATTAATCAAACCTATAATCTACATTCAAGCTATACGGCTATTAGTCTTTCTTAGATCAAAAAAGCTGTTATTTTAAACCAAGAAATTTTAACTTCCCTGATTTCAGTAGCAAATAACAAGCTTCTGTGTTAACTTTCATCCCTATGTATCTGAGTGTGATATCTGGCATTATTTGTTTTTCTTGCCAGGAGGAATATTCATTCTAAGGTGCATTATTGTACAAATATTGGGGCATATGAGGGCTTATAGTAATTCATTACTATAATTACATGTAAAGAATAAGGAAACTTGTAGGTAGCCTGTAAAGTAAAGTTTTTAACTTTTCCTCCTAAGTGAATACATGCACAGGAATAATAAAAAAGCCACTTCTGCTTGGAACGTTTTCTAGCACAAGCAGTCCTATTGACTTCAAAAAGCCTTAACATGCCTATGTGCTTTACAGGATAGATTCCCCAATACATAGATTAAATGTATTAAATGTACTTAAAGGGAGCCTATAGGAAAGATGGGGACAATCTTTTTAGTAGAGACAGCAGTGACAGGACGAGGGGTAATGGTTTTAAACTAAAACAGGGTAGGTTTAGGCTGGATACAAGGAAGAAATTCTTTACAATGAGGGTTGTGAAACACTGGAACGGGTTGCCCAGAGAGGTAGTGGAGGCCCCATCCCTGGAAACATTCAAGACCAGGTTGGACAGGGCTCTGAGCAACCTGATCTAGTTAGCGGTGTCCCTGCTCGCTGCGGGGGGGCTGGACTAGATGACCTCTAGGGGTCGCTTCCAACCCAGAACTTTCTATGATTCTATGATTCTATGAAATATGCCCAATCATAATGCAAAGAAAAACATTAAATTATGCCATCTTCACAGCAATCCAGTTTGATTTGATTTTTGTTTTAATAGAGAGAAATTAACATCTCAATCAAGCCAACACTATTTTTGTAGTTCTTATTGTAATCATGGGTACTGTATAAACTCAGAGGAGTTACACAGTTAAAAGGTGTGTACATCACAGATAGCTGGAACATTTTCTTCACTTATCCTATGTGAAATTTAAAACAACACTGGAATCTTAAGAGACATTACCCTTTCATTGGATGAATGTTTTAAGATTAATCAGTTGTGCATATTGCTTTTTAGAAGACCTTAAATTTCATTCAAACCATTCTTAATTATTGTTTTAGTAGGAATAATGTAAATTTGTAAAGCTATCCTCAAAACTCCAAGCTTTGATCTCACCAAGGTTATTTTTAATATGGTTAAGTTTAAAATCTCCAGAATATAATAGAGAATAGTGCTTTATTGTTGAATCAGCTTATAGAAGTTTAAATAATCACAGTTTTTTTAAAACTGTGATTATTTAAAAACTCTGCATTTTAGAGTTTGTTTTACAGGAGTTGGTTGATTTCTTTTGGGGGAGGGGGGAGGAGGGGAGGGAGGAGAAACAGGAAAAGAAATTCCTAAAAAGGCAATGGAAATAAGCAAAAAAAGAGAAATCTTTCCATCTGTTTAGCTACTCTGTATGTATTTTATAGAAAGACATTATGTCTTGGAGTGCCAAGACCTTGCATTATATATTGGCCTTGACCAAGAGCTCTTACTACAATGCCAGACATCCTGCTTTGACTTTATTCTAGCAAGACAGATCTGGCAAAGATTCAGCAGGCGTTGCTTTTGATAATAAAAAAACCTATAGATGAGTATCACTTTTTTTTCAAATTTTGTCCCATTCACAGCACATTTTACTTATATTTTGCAACATGAGAAAAACAACAAGCTATCTAAGATATCTAAGATATCTAAGGAATTTTCAGTTACTCAAGGACAAGAAAATACATATAACGCCTAGATTAATTACTACACTTACACCTGTAAGAAATTAGATTCTCCATCATCACTGTCCCACCCTCCAAAGTAAAAAACATAGGCATCAAATGAGATATCCAGGTTCAAAATTACTTAAGCAGTGCATGAGCTCCACAGCTAACCACACCTTGAGAAAGCTTCCCTTCAGCATTACCTTAATAAGACAACACTCTAAGGTGTAAAGAGCTGGACACAGAAAATTACGTTAACTACAACAAATTCAGAAGCAGTAAGTTCCTTTACTTGTGACGCTTATGAGCAAGGAAAGATTTCATTAAGATGTACACATACGTCAAGAGCCACAGACTGTTTTGCCCAGGACTTCTTCACTTGGTCATACATAATTGTGTTGTTGATGCCTAGGCCACAAAAAATAACAAAAGCCTAAAATTAAAAAGAGAAAAAGAAAAGAAATTCAGTTATAATACAAACACTAAGATGAATGCTGATATAATAAAGAAAAGGAATTGCACAGAAATATTTGGAATAATCATGCTTAGACAGGTTATCTTGAGAGTACAGATAAGTCACCGGCCTCAACAAGATGAGAAAGATCAGATGCAAGAAACTTCTTTTCATTGTGATGCAACCTTATTAAGTGAGGTGTTCTGAGAATTAATGCCAAACCACAAATACAGACAACATACTCCTCCCCCCTCCCTAGAGCAGACTGAAGCAGCATCACCCAAAAATACCAAGTTTTTTTTTGAAAAAGTATGTTATTGCTATAAAATTTAATGCCTCTTACTTCAAAGAGTCGCTGGTCGGCATCGTCAAAGGGTTTCCCATCAAGCCTGTTCAACACTTGAGCTACACCTTTAGAAAGAGTTAATATGAATTATAATCTTCATTCACTAATTCACAATGCAGAACATTTTATTCACTGGTAACATTTAAAATATAGCTTTCAAACGGAAAAGAAAAACTGCAATTATTTATTCTGAAAATCATTAAACAGACATAAACATGCAAAAGTCTGATTGTTTTGATACCAGGACTCAGTTTATTAGTTTCACCTGTTTTTCTTTACTCTCCAAATATAATATTGCAAATCTAAAAGTTACTTGCAACGCTTTTCACTAAAGGTTAAAGATCTGCCCAGCTTTAACTAAAGGTTAAAGATTTGCCCAGTGACAGGACAAGGGGCAATGGGCACAAACTGAAGCATAGCAAGTTCCGTCTGAACATGAGGAAGAACTTCTTCCCTCTGAGGGTGACGGAGCACTGGCACAGGCTGCCCAGAGAGGCTGTGGAGTCTCCTTCTCTGGAGATATTCAAGACCCGCCTGGACAAGGTCCTGTGCAGCCTGCTGTAGGCGACCCTGCTTCGGGAGGGGGGTTGGACTAGATGATCCACAGAGGTCCCTTCCAACCCCTACCATTCTGTGATTCTGTGATCTCTTTGGGAAAGAACTCGAGCACTTTGCTAACAGCAATCATATAAGTTGCCGTAGCAATTTGGACTTACTAATACAATTTGCAGAATCAGTGCCTTCATTCCTAAAATCTTAGTTGGTTTAGCATCAGCTGGGTATATAAATCATTTTTTCTCATGACTGGTCCATAAATCTATTGAACCAATGAAAAAAAAATCAATGTCCTTAAACCACTTGAAAAAGTGTTCAAAGCTCTTGGCTTCAGCTGAAGCAGTACTGAGTTCTACTGCAACAAACCACTTCTATTTCATTTAGCCACAGTATGCCCTTGGAAAAATAATGTAACAGCCATCACCAGTCAAGGGTTCAGTTTCTTGCTACTTCTTTCAGGTAATATGAACTTCACAAGAAACAATGAGCCATATTTTCAAGACTCAAATCCCACATCATCTCTGCTGAATAAGCTCAAAGATCCTGATCCTTCATGGCACTGAGTGCCTTCAGCAATGCACTGCTGATCTCAGCTCCCACTGACAGCCACAGCACACAGGGACGCAAGTCTGCTGTGCCGGTTTAAAAATTGCTATCACTTGAACTCTTCTGTGGAAAGTAAACAGAGGAATCTGGCACTGTTATTTACAAATGGCACTCTCTTTTGTACCAAAAGCAGGTAATAATGAAGGGACAATAGCAGGTGTATCCTAGCTGGGAAGCACGCTATCAAACAAGCAATAAAACCCTGTCATGTTCTGATCCAGCACACACCACTGCCACAGGCAACTCTGACAGCCGCCACAGCCTCTCCGGTGAGTGTGCCCTGACTGTGTAGTTTATCATTACAGAGGGAAATGACCACTTTGCTTGACTGCAGAAACAGTTGCCCAAGTTGTGTGCAAAAAAGGGAGACCCAAGAACAGTATCAAAGCTTATCAAATGTTTTTCACTAATATTATTAGAATTTCTATTTTTATCTCTTTAGTCTTCAAGTTTCAATACAGTATACAACTTAACAATGACACAATGGGAAAGCTGAAAAAGTCCATACAGCATCCAAGTCAAAACATCCCTTCTTGGATACTTAACATGCATGCTAGGTGCTATAACTTCTTAATAATATTTAGCTGGGAAAAAGAAGAAAAAGGAACACAGAATTAAAAAGACAGAATTAAATTTACATTAGCACAAAAACTATGCAGCTATGAGGAAGGTCTTACCAATTATTTGGTGGTTGCTATTCCATATAGGAACACACAGAACAGACCTTATGTGAAAGCCAGAAATCTGGTCAGCCTAAAATGTAGAAATGAGACCTTCCATTAGCAGTAGGTACCATTTGCAGCCTTTTACATTCTAGTAATAGAAGTGTCAAGGAGTAAGTTTACATTTACAAATATCATTCCGTATGGATCAGCACTCACTCAGAAAACATTTCTGCTGAAACCTCATTCACAGTAAGATTAACTAAAAATCATCATGATTATTCTAAAAGATGCCATAGAAAATAGAAACACCACCATCTTTGCAATGCCACAGAAAGTTTATACTGTTTGACTTTGATTTGGAATAGAAGACAAACTGCAATTGAGGCAATGTCCAGACAATTTCTGGATTACTTATACCAGTGGATTAGTAGAGACAACCTGCATTGCATAAGTGTGCTTTAGAAATACTCTTCCCAATTGTCAATATGAAATTTGATTTAGCAAAGCAGCTATAAAAGGAAGCTTACAGCAAATCAGCATTTTCAGAAGAAAGACAAAAGTAGGGAATTGTGCAGAAGTGCAAGCTAGGAAGAAATGGAAGGATGGGGTCCAAACCAAGATTTGAGATTTTCTATGTAGGTTTAGTTGGTCCTATAGTTCTGAAGAGAATTTTGTGCCTCATTTATTGTTTTCTACCTAACATAGTATAAAACTCTGCAATTTACTATAAATGTCACCGATTCTCTTTTTTTATGGTTAATAAGTTTTATTCTTTGGGGTCATTGCTGCAAAAACTGAAGAAAGTATTTTTTCAAAAGAGATTAGAATAAGAGAGTGGGATGAGCCCACTCACGGGAGATCAGGAGATCTTCTCTTACTAAGTGCTACAGGCAATCTGTAATAGAAGAAAAGTAAAAGACCAGCAATAATTCATACACTGGAAGCAGGAAGGGATCACTGATCTCCTAGATATCAAACGATATAACTCAGGTTTTTCTAAAGTACTGCTTATTTGTACATACTCAGAACTCATCACTGAAATCAGTGTGAAGTGCCACCTAAAATCCATGGGAGTAGGGGAACAATTGGCTCAGATGCGTATCTTAAAATGAACTCCACGAAAATACTTTGGCATCAAATTCTCATTGAATGAGTTGAAAATTGAGCATCAACATTTGAAAATGACAATTAGTGTTCTGGGAGAAAAAAGAGTGTTTTTAATAGAAGCAGAGAACAGAACATCTGTTCATAACTACAAATGTATGTTTGATTCTAAGTAACAAGGGATAATACTACACTTGACTGTAGGAATAATTCATTGTAACAACCGAATTTAAGAACTCAATTTTCACAGAACCCACCAACAGAAAATAATTACTGCCCTTTGTGTTGTGTTTTCTTTTTTTCTATATAAATTAGGCAGGGCCTCTAACTCGGAAAGGACTAAGTGAAATAAGTAATATAGCTGAATTATTCAGGACTTAATATATTAAAAGTACAACAGCAAACATATCAAGGATTGGCATGCTTTATTTTAGCATAACTCTTTAGCAAGAAACAGTACACAAATTGTACTTTTTGAAATTCTGAACAAATTAGCATCAACACAGTTTTCTTCTGCACTTTTACAGCAGGCCCCTTTTATTTTTCTTGTTTTTACAAATTCTCCTGGTTTGAGAGATAAGCCTTGTAAAGACATGTGGAATAAAAGTGGAACTAAGCAAACTCTCAATATAAAACACTTCCAAGCACACTTATTGTCGTAATATAGTTTAGCAAGCTTGCTGACCAAGGCTGTCCATTGATTAATGTCCTGCCCAACTGCTGGCCAAGTCCCCCACAGTCATACTATTTCACTGGATAGAATACAGTGAAGATTTTGTCCTTCCATATGCCTCTAACATTTATTTAGGTGTTAAGTACACATATACATTTTTATCTGTACCTACCTACACCTTCCTAACTGAGGCTGGAATGAATACCTTAGGATAGACAAATAACTTTTATTACGAGTGATATGCATCTTGGAGAAATAACTAATCCAGTGTGTATATTTTATTCATGCAAATTAAAAGGTTAGTTGGCTAAATTACATCACAAATAACATTCATCTTTCTAGATATCAGTTCTGTTTACCCTCTGTGTGTATACAGGCCCAGTCAACGCAACAGCTAACAATGACAGTGCTGCTAACATTGAACACCAACAGTGGAATTCTCAGCAATAAAAATCAGTTTTCATAAATATCAGAGCACTTGACAGAGGAAAGTATCACTTACAAATAGAAAAAAAATTAATCATGGACAGACTAAGTAATTGCCTAAAAACTTACACTAATTCAGTGACCTGTGTCTACTGTATAAAGCCATGTCAAGAACATCAGACCACAAGGACATACTGGATAGAAAAAATAATTCAGAATAAATATTCATATATTTTACAGTCACCTGGATATAACAATAAAATTGTATTATATTAGTTGCAATGCCAAAAATATGATGTATATTTACTTTTCTAAAAATCTCTTACTTCAGCATCAAAGCGAGGATCCTGATAGGCATCACTGATGTTCACTGGGAGACCCGTGGAAGCTACGAGTTCAGCAATGCTATTATTTATTAGCCAGTCAGAATAAGATGATGATTTCTCCACACTGTCTTTGAAACTATCAAAAGGCATAGCAAGGGAAGAGAAGAATACAATCAATGTTGCTTTAAGTCAAGCATGTCTTACAAGCGTATTCATAGGAACATCGGACCCATTCACAGTTATTAAGCATTATCTATGGAACAGTAATTTGGTATTTATTGAATAGTACATTAAAAATTCTCTTCTTTACACAACTCTTTCTATTGAAAATAGCATTGGTCTCCCAATCAAAGTAAATACGGCATTTAATAATGAAATGCAATTACGTATGAATCAAGAGTGGGATTATGTTCCAAGTTTCTGTGGGATACAGGCCTGCCCATCAAAAGCAACAAGTTCTAAATAATATTTTCTGTAGAACTACCTGAAAGTATATAATTTTAAGATTTTAGTTTTTCAAATTAGTTTAATAATTTGGGGTATTTTTAAATTCATACTTCCAATAATTTTCCTGCCAAGGGAAATGTAATTTTTTTTATTTTAGTCTGAAATGCCAGACCTTAATGGCTGAAGAAGGAATCATGACATAAGTCTTAAAATCAATAATGTAAGTGTGTTGCTGCAGGTGGATCCAAGTTGACATACAATATGTGAATGTTTCCTTTTTTTTTCCTGGCTGAGCTTCTCCCACAACTACTGAGGGGCTAGAGACCTGTCGGTAAATGAGCATAAGACACTAGAATTATGGGCTCAACCCACCACACTCCCCCACAGCTTCTCCAGAAAACTCCACATCTACAAAGACCTTAAAGTCCTCACCTTATACCTCACCTAATCAGCAGGAAAGTTCTGACTTACCGAAGACAGGTCTTTGACATTGGAAAGGTGTAGCTATTTCTGTGTGAATAAGTGAATGCATGTTGTCTTAGTTTTGAGAAGAAAACTGATCAACTTTCAATACCTGAGAAACATTACTTAGAAAAGTGACTCTAAGCAGCCATGAAGAAGATTACAATAGCTTGATGCTTCAAAGTAATGCACTTGAATGAAAGAAGGATGCACAGTAAAATTCTTGGAAGACTCAATCAAAGTGAAAGGATTGATTTTTGTTGGCTGCATTGATTTTCTGGAGACTAATTCAACTAAGTCACTCATTTGAAAGAAAATTCAATATTTTTAAAAGACTATAAATAAAGATAATAATAATGATTTACACAAATAAATCTAAGTATCATCTTTCATTTGGGATAAGAATTTTGAGTAATAAATATAATAATGTAATAAACGTTATGTCTATACTTTGACAGGAACCTTTACAGAAATGTAATGTTATTTGAGCTAAGTAAAAAATTCATGTTTATAATTTAAAGTCTATTTCAGGATATGAATACTTGAGAAGCAAAAAAATCTTTAAGGATAAGTATCTAATTTCAAATACATAGCTCCCAGTTCACACTTTAAAAATCTGGATGATATTATCATTATAATATAAGACATAAATCAGGACTGCATTATAGGTGTCAAGCATTTTAAGCAGCAAATGAATTAAAGTAAAAGAAACAAGATATAATTCAGGAAGAAGTTTTAAAAGTATGTTCTGTTATGTTGCCTCCATTCCTTAGCAAGTGCTTTACAACTACAGTCTGGAAGAGAGGCACTCAACTTTCACTGGGAGGAAATATTAATGATTAATTCTGATGCAAATCACAGCCAGCTGGCTCTCTCTCCATCCTCAGCAGCTCAGAACACTAAGAAGCTACTCTAAAAATCACAAGCAACAATTTCCTCCAAACTGTGGAAAGCCATGAGCGAGTCCTGCTGGGCTGATGCAGGCAGCTGCATGCCACCACCTCCCTGTCTTGCCAACACACTAGCAGGAGCACCGCATACCATGCAGGAGTTAAACCCAGCTCAGGAGCACAGAGCAGTGCTGCAGGCTTATGCAGCTGCTTGCCTTACTATCTTCCCCAAAGCCTCCTCGACAGGGATGGTAGAAAGTACAGCAGGAAAGTGCCACAGTTAAAATCACGGGTACCTTCAATCCTCTCTAAGCAGTGACATGAACCCTTCCAGCTTCTAGGACTAGAAGAGGAGAAAGATGTCGTAAGAAGCATAAAAATACTGCAAGGAATGGCATGATACCTGAGTGCACATCATCCCAGGGACAGTGGTGGTGAAACAGCGTAGCAAGGATTTCAGCACTTCCTCCGTGCCAGCTCAGCTGAGAGGGAGCAGAGGTATTTTCTCCCTTGCAACCCACACTCTGGCTCAGACAGCTGACCTTTCCACTACCTGGTACTCAGGTTAGAGAGCTGTAATCTCAGCTACATCATCTGCCAAGATGGCTTCTGTGCAGGAAAGACATAGCCCACAGAACCTTCCTTCGGGCTCATCTTCATCTAGAATAGAACAGAACTGAACCCTCAAGGCTTCTAAGATTTATGTAACCTTTTTTCAAAGGAGAAAAAATATAGGAGACTTGCCAAACCTGTACTTCAAGAACAAAATGACTGGCAAAAATGAGAGCATCACTGTGACATTATGGGTAATAAACAAATTTGATTATGGTGCATGCTGAAGAATTGCAAAATGAGCAGACAAATGCTAGTGTGGTCTTGCAATGTATTTCTTTACAACTAACAGCAAAGAAAAAAGATATGAGTATTCATTATAATATTTAGGGACTAAACAGGTGAACTGCTATTAGGCAGATGTAAGAAGGGCAAAAGAAAAGCAAATTTCTTCTAAAACTCTGTGAGAAAGTATGATAGGACATGAAAAGTTATATTGTCCTTGGAGCTTCTCTCTCCTTCATATAAAACTTATAACTAGAACTGTTCTCATTCTATAATCTCTTTGGATTTCCACTAAAATTTCAAAGAAATAATATTTATCTTCCCTGGTGTAACAATGAAGAAACGCCTCTTGCCTTTTTTTTCCACATGAAACATCTCATAACTTTACCTCAGTTATGGCTGCAGAATATAGAATGAAAAGGGCAAAACTCACAGAAAAATGCTCAAATGTCAAGGGCTTACGGCATTGTTCTGTATCCTAAATAACCTTTATTTTCCCCACTGTAGTGCAAATAACTCAAGCTGTGCCTGTGCTAGATCCAAATGTGACGTCGTATCTGCCAGTCTACTCTTGGTCTTTGTAAAACCAACTTCACTCTCCACTTGATGAAGAACGAAAGAAAAAGCAGTAAATCTTTATATTAAGATGGACAGAAATACACCTTTATAGATCTTGTAAAGACTAGCTACTGCGTTACATGTGTTTATTCATGTCTCAGACTGAAGTTAAATAATCTTGACTACATGCAGAGCAGGATACTACAAATTGCTTTTTGGTAACATGCTAATATAACTATGGTAACAAGAAATGAGCCAGCTTGGTTATCTTGACACCACTCTACATTGTTTTGACTAATCTGGCTACAGATCAAATTTGAGAAGAACAGGAATAACAGCCACATCCCTTGATTCATGCTCCTGTCTCTGAACAAAAGAAATGTATTTTTACCCATTTAATTGACCTAGGGAAAGACCAACTGCTACTCTGAAGCTTTTTGTGAAAAGCAGTAACTTGCAATTCCCAGATGAATCAACTGACTATTTATTCATATTTAAACCTGCTGATTTTTTATCACTTGTTTTCCTTTTCCATTTGTCTCACCATTCCCATCTCTCAACTTGCGGATAGCGCATGGAGGAGATCTAGCTTCTCCCTATCTTTCTGTGTGGCCCCAGACTCTGCCGTCAGCTTGTACATCTTAAAAATAACACTACCCATTTTTGTAATGCTGTGAAATTAATCCATGAAAAGCATTAAGAATTAGGACCTGTCGTAACCTGGAGTACAATGCGCACATTCACCTTAATGAAGTGGTAGATTCTTACCACACTGGAGGTGAAGAAATAAAATATGAAAGAAGTAAATAACCTTAAAACTATTTTTTAAAGCTGCTTGAAGGGCTTAAATATGGCAAAGCATAAAGTAATCTTCACGTTTGCTAAGCTATGGATAGCAAGTTGGACAGAATGCTAGGCTGATCATTACGGCAGCCATTTGATATGGAAAATTCTAATTCACAATCAGTATGAATTGACTTGAATAAAATGTGTATGATGATCACTGAGTTTGGGCCCTGAAAGGTGGGAGAAACCTTCTAACAATATCCCTGAATCTCCATCCACTCATTTGGTATGTAGGACATTTTATGCGAACTGCTACCCCTTGTATTATGTTGTAGGAATTAACACTTTAACCTCACGTGGACAAAAAGCTCTTTCTCTTACTATTTACAATTAGCCCTTTATCGATGTTTACATACAGATCCTACTAAGCAAAACGTATACTTCTATTTTGACTGGGCTCCCAAACAAGATTTAGTCATAGGAACACAATTTCTAGGAAATACACATTCTCTGATGTTTTTAGGCTTTCCAACTTGAGGACAAGAGTAGAAATAAAATTTTACTGGAAATCTTTCAACAAAACTGTAAGGAGACATTTTGCAAAAGATCAACAAACAATCTAACACAATTTTGTAATTTTTACCTCAGTATTAACTATGCAAAACAACATTCATGTGATCTCCACGAGTTCAACAATAAAAAGTCATGAGTTGCTTCCTGGTTTCTCCGAGACACTGATGTATGTATATATGTTAGCACATATATATAAAAATATAGGTACGTATAGTTATTCAAGCAAGTCTCCATTTGAAGCAAGCAGACGTCTTGTCCGAGTAAAAACTGTAGGCTCACACTCTTCAATCAAATGTGTCAAAAGTTCCATAAGAAAATAAAACTATGATCAAGCAAATTTAAAACTACGTGAAAAAGAAAGTAATCCATTACGATGGAAGACATGAGCACTAACCTGTTGTCAGTATCAGCACTGCATTTTGGAGATAACAACTCAAAGGATTTTGTAAATTTCACCACCTGTCACAAAAAAATGTAACAGAATTGTTACTAAGATGAAAAATATGTAAGAAAACTGTAATGCAAGGTTCCTATATGTAAACCGTATTTTTATCCAATGGTCTTAGAATAAATATTCAGTCTGTATTCCCTCTTCAGAGAAGTCATGTTCAAAACATGCACTGTGCATGGTTCACTAACAAACACTCTCAAATCAAATTATATCTTTAGATTCCTTCATGAAATTATTTTCTGCAACAGTGCATGTTTCCTTTCAAGAGGCTTTGGAACATGAATTATGGAGCTTTACCCAAGCTTCACTTTTTTAATGTAGGAAAATGAACAGAAAGGACCATTTGCACTACTAATTTCAATTGATTTTCCTTAAGCATACTTGCCAACAGCATGCAAGTGAAACTAGAGTGGCACAGGACACAGGTAATGTTTTTGGATGCTAATATGGATCCCCATCTTCCACTTTGGTTCTGTATTGTAAAAGTTTTTCACATGATGTACAAATGACGATATTTTAGACACGGCTTAACACGGAGTTACTCTATGCAGATCCATTTTGATATATAGGTTAATACACCAAAACTGGGGGAAATCAGGCAAATAACTGTTTTGCTACTTGTAAAAGTTACCAAGTGGGTGGCAAGATGCTATTCTCCTATTCCAAATTAATCTAAGATTTATGACTGTTTATTAAAAATTTAGGCTTAAATGAATACCTTGGCTGTCCACATTTCAGAATTTGGTCTAGAGGAATAAGAACTCATTGCCTGTGGTTTGGGAAAAAACCCTCTGTGCTCAAAGGTAGAAATAATACTAAGAGCAGAAAAGTGAAACGAACAATGCCACCCACTGCCTGCTAGCCACTAACACAATGTACTGTTCCACAAAAAATAAAAATCATATTATACTTGCAAACATAGTGGCATTTCACAGGAATGTGGTGGAACTGTATCTCATAATTATAAAGTCAGTGTGGGGGGTCTAGAAAGAAAATAAACTAGAAACATTAGAATTCTGAAACAGAGTGTATAAACGAAATACAAACCTCGATCTTGCTTTTACGAATGCTAGTGTAATTTAGGGCATACTCCACTGAAAGCACTTAATTTCTATTAGTTTGAATGAAATAAGAATCACATCTTTCCTCCAGGAAGAAAATAATGGGCTTTTTTCTGCCATACACACAAATTTATGATTCTATCTCTGATAATCATTTAGACTTGTCACAGGCCAGCAACAAATCATCAGTTACGGAGTCAGTGAATCCAAAGATACTTGGATAGAAAAAAGAATGATATTACAAGCAACATTTTTTTATCCTTCAACTACTTCTCAAATCAGTAGAAAGGAAGATATTTTGTGTTGAATAGCCTGAGAACACTGAAGGGAGATACCAATATAAAGGCAGTCACTTTTTTTAATACTAGTAACAATAGTCATAAAAATGTTAAACATTTTTAAAGAGGCTTTCATACCCTATGAATGTCAGTATAACAAAGTCCCAGTGAAAGCCCCTGTCAAAACTGTGCATGAAGTCCAATTCTTGACAAATACTTTCATACAGCTTATGTTCATCTTTTCAACTTAACAGAGCCCTGCAATGAAATAATTATTCTTTGGTCAAGCGGACAGAGCAATTGTAAAAAACCCCTATACTTTGGTAACGCCAAAAGTCATATTTTCACTTCACCTGTTCAATGTAAAAGCTTCTTCCTATCACAAGAACAATGTGACTATTTAGACATTTGTATGCAAATATGTCTTTTCCAATGGATTTTCTGTTACCTCAGGGAAAAATTACTAAGTCAAGACAACAAGAGGACTTATCTTTTCACAACACTTTCATCATTTAGGAACTGAGACCGGTTTTCACTATTTATTTTGCAAAGTATTAAAGAAACTTATTAAAATGTGCAAACATAGCTACTCCCAAACATATCCCTGCCAACAGTTAGAGCGTCTGGAAAACTCTCAGGAAGGAACAAATCCCATGGAATAGTGGCCACCAGAAGCAGGTGAGAAAAATCCCTTCAGCCCTTACTGTCTTGCTGGTTTTCCACATTAAAATACTGGATTTCACAAAAAAAAACCCATTCATGAGAAGTTCAGAAGCTGACTACTGTGAAGACATTGATTGGATTGCTGTAAAGCCCACTGAGCTGCTGAATACACAGGATGGTGAATTAACAGTCTTGCTGAGTTGATTTTTATCTGTTGTTTCTGAGGGACCAGTAGTCTGATTAAAGATGTAACATGTTACATACTAGCATAGAAACTACATAAGTATTTCAGTTTGATACAGTTAAACAACAATACCAGATGCAAAAGTATGAACACTGAAGAAATATCAATGAAGATGTCTGATAATTATTTATTGGAATGTATGCAGAAAAGCATAGATCTAAAAATCAGCATTAATGATTTGGTTTGATGATGCAACTGTCTGTGGTTCTGAAACTGCTTGCAAGCACCACCCATTTGATGTCATTGGCCTGAAAAACGTTAGCAAGGTCATAAATTCCAGGCAAATGTAAATGAAGCTACAGACAGGACTTTTAGAAAGGAACTGAGCAAATAAATATTTGATAACAAATCAGGTCATTTATTGTTAAGCAGACCACAGGAGCACCTTGCTTCTCAGTTAAGCTGTCCTAGCTGCTCTGTAGTAATCACTAATTCCATCACACAGACAACTGAGAGTCACGGCATATCAGCTGGATCACACCACTGATAGTTAGATCCACCAGCAACCTACAGACATCCCAATAAATGCCTTCAAATGACCAGAGGGAATAATAAACAGACCTTTCAGTTTCCAGCTGAAAAAGTGGCTATACTTGTTTTGGCTAGGACAGAGTTAATTTTCTTAACAGTAGCTTGTATGATGATGTGTTTTAGATTTGTGGTGAAAACAGTGCTGATAACACAGGGATAGTTTTGTTGTTGCTGAACAGTACTTACACAGTGCCAAGGCCTCTGTTTCTTGCTCTGCCGCCCCAGGGAATAGACTGGGGGGCACACAATAGATTGGGAGGGGACACAGCCAGGACATCTGATCCCAGCTGACCAAAGGGACATCCCATACCATATGACGTCATGCTCAGCAGCAAAAGCAGGGAGGAAGGAAGAGGAAGGGGAGCACTTTCAGAGTTATGGCATTTGTCTTCCCAAGTAACCGTCACATGCGATTAAGCCCTGCTTTCCTGGAAATGACAGAACACCTGCCTGCTGATTTGAAGTAGCACTGCTGCACTGTCTTTATCTCAACCCACAAGTTTTCACACTTTTACCTGTCCAGTTCCCTTTCCCATCCCACTGGGGTGGGGAAATGAGTGACCAGTTGTGTGGGGCTTAGGTGCCTACTGGGGATAAACTGCAACAGTGATGTTGATAAAGATTCAACCTGTACCTAACTTACATTTAAGAATGATGCGCTGGAAGAATACTTGCTGCACAGTACTCACATATGATGTGAAGCAGCTACCTCACAATAAAAGCAGCTGCTCCACCATTCAAGTATTAGCCTTTCTACAGAATGTGCAGCCATACTTACTGGTGATTCGATATCTTCCAGAAGTAATACTGAGCACCGTTCACACTTCAGCAGAGTCTGGGCCCGATGCATAATTTTCTTGACAATTTTCTCTAAATCAGTCTGTTCCTCAAAGAGGTCATTCACTACTTCCAGTAAAGCCTACATACAAGGACAGAAAACTCTTGTATTGGTTGTAGAATTAATAAATACACGGAGCATTGCAAAGGAGGCATAACCTCTGGGGTTGATTTTAATATGAGTGATCCATTGCAATCTTCATTCAAATAAAGTTCTTAATGATTATGGCAACAGAACTGGGGTAGGGGTATCTGAAGAAAGAAAGAAGTTATGTATTTCTTAGCTCACAACTGGGCACAATACAACTCCTAGCAAACAATGAGAATCTTTCAAACTATTTCAGCTGTGGTCCAAAAATAAAACAATGGCTGTAATGCAATTCTCCAAGTATTCAGTATGGATTGAGTTACTTGATTTTCTATAGTGAATTTGCTGGTGCATTTAAACTCTAATTTTATTCATTTATTACCCACTTGGCATATTCAAAGTTTGAAAGAAAAAAACACATCAATACTTCCATATTCCAATAGCACTCTGATCCAGTGTTTACCACTAAGAACATGTCTGTAAAATACAAGGTTTTAAAATGAAGGGCTTCCCCTCTCATTTCATCAACTTCAAAAATAATAGCCCATATTCTTTCTTACCATAGGTCCAAAGAAGTGTGCTTTTTCTTTTATTCTGGTTTAGGGCATCGACACTAAAGAACATCCATATAGGTAAGCATATAAACGTTACTCGTCTTAACTCTCCTAACGCAGTGGTCATCAGCAAACTTTGGTTGCAGTCACTGGAAGTTGCCACCACTGGTGTCCAGTTTGACAGGGAAGGCAATGTATGGTCTTCTCCATCATGTGTTACTTGCAAGCTAATTTCAAGCATGGACTAGGCAAAGCTAAAGACCACCAACAGGTCAGAAATGCAATTAAATACAGGCTACCATGTAGCTTTCAAATGTCAATGATATTTGTGATGCCTCACATGGCTAAGCAGCAACAAGGAACAAAGAATCTGTATATCTAATCCAATTTCCTGATGTGTCCAACCACCAGAAATTACCATCTTCTAATGAAGAATGAAAATGTCCCTAACACTTTTCTGCTGAACGCCTCCCTCAGAAGACTAAATGATGACTCCTCAAAAGTCTGTCATTGTGCCCTGCAGGCTGGGAATCTGCAGCAAACTTTAAGTCTCTACATGGAACAAACAATTATTTTGTCTGAACATCAAACCAAGAGAAAAATTCTGGCAGAAAATCTTTTATTTTCCCAAGTCTCCTCCACATCTCCACCCCAAAATATAGTGGTCTGTAGTCAGACCTGGACAGGAGACAAGTTTAGATGCTTCATGACCCTTAAATATATAGAGCATTAGAAAGGGCTATTGCTAGTTTTCAAAGTAGTGGAAAGCATAGGTTTCCATACATGGAAAGCACCAAAATCCTGAATATACAAATGTCAGTGCCCAATACACAGACACACACCACTGTAGTTTCCCCTGCTTTGTGAAGCAAGACCAGGTTCAACACTACCAGTGGTATTTCTACTGAAGCTTTGGAGATGTGATCCATGATAACAAAAGTATAATTTCCTGTCATTGCAGAAGAGGTGAATAAAAAAAAAAGCCAACAATTATCAAAACCCCCTCAAAACTATCATCATTTTATTTCTTAAAAAATAAAGACCTGTCTGAGAAGTAAGCAACATGTGAGCCTAGCATTATTTTCACTTCTCTGGAGCCTCCTGTCCCAACTCATGCACGGCATCAGCAACCATGAGTAATGTGAGCAATCTATCTATGCAGACAAATGCTGTCAAAAAATCCCTCACACACAGGTTTTTTTCTTGCTTACTTTTATAAAGATATATCCACATTATTTGCACATATTATAAATTCAGGATGACAAAGGTTTGATATTACTGGAATTTTATAATAGTTTGGATCTCTGCCAAAGTAACACTGTCCTGCACCGTCTGTGTTACAAACGCAATTGTTTCAGCACTACGAAACATGGAACTGACATCAGGAAACAACAGCCACCACCACAAGCATATTTACCTCCCACGCTCTCTGCTTGTTGCCTCAGTTAAGTTAGTGATCTGTTGAAAATGCATTTTTTTAAAAAACAAAACATAGTTAAAACTGCCTGCTTAGAAAAGACATATGCATAACTAGAATCTGAAGGAACAAAAGCCTAAGGTTTGATATTGGTCCAGTACACATTTTTTTACTCACCCTGCTTCTGTCGTATTCCTTTCTTGAAGCTGCAAATAGCTGGGCATTCGATATGGCAATCCCACAGAATGGGAGATACATCTGCATCACCTAGTATCAAAAGAAGCTCCCAGTCATTAAAAACAACTGCAGTTAGACACTTCTGGTACTAGCAAAGAGACCTAAACTTGGGTGACGTGTCCCCAGAGGGTCCCAGCTCACTCACTCTTCAGCAGAACACTAAACACAAAACAAAATCATCACAGGCAAGGCACATCAAATGAGCAGAACAGAGATCAAATAGGTAGGAAACAACAAACGCATTGGAGTTCACAGGTCCCAGAAGTGAGGGTCTTCTGTAACTTGTTTGGAAAACTGCAGATTCTCAAGTCTATAAAATGTCTGCTGAAGACTATATTAAATTACTGTGACACTACAGCTTCCCTAGAAAAAGTATTCTTTATTTTTCTGGACTGCTTTTTTGTTCTAAGCTCAAGAAGCAAGCCTGAGTCACATTCCCTCTGATTTCTAGAAGATGTAGATTTTGGAGAATACCAGCACAGTGGAACACAGCACATCGATCCAAAACTATTAGTCAGAAAGCTGACTGTCTTCTCAGTAAAGAAGAAAAAAAAAAACAGTTAAAGAACGTGCTTGAGAAAGTGGGCCTTAATGCATCACCATACATTAAGAAAGACTGAACAAGAGGGACGGGGAAAATATTTTGAGGTGCACAAAATGACTTTAGGCTGGCTATGACTTTAGGCATACTTCAGGCTGTCTGCGTGAAATGAATAAACTAGGCTAGTCAAATACCTGAATACCTGTAAGACGCACTTTCACAAGGATGGCAATGGATAGAAGCCCAGTAACATTAGCATTTTAAAGCCACATAGTGATAACAAGTCTGTAACATACTGCCAGTGCTGAGTGGTTCCCAAGCTCAGGTCTGAGACATTAAGTAAATTTTATAGGTGCTGAATAGCCTTAACATTTGCAAAGCCAGTGAGAGTTGGGGCACTCTGCTGTTTACAGAGCCAAAAGAATGCTGCAGCAGCTAACCTTTCTTCTCCCTGGTCTGTCGACTGGGAGATTCACTACAAGCAATCCTTTCCGTGACAAGTTTTGGCATCTAGAAAGTGGCATTTGTCTTTGAAATTCCATTTAATTAGAAAATTACCGCTAACCCAGTCAAGTGGGCTTTTGAGACTATTTGAGGAAAAATCCTCAAGAATTGTAAGCATTCGGAAGAACTGAAACAGCAGCAAGCTGTTCTACTTTATCTTCCTTAAATAATCCATTGGCTACATGTCTACTTCGTTTGCATTTGAGTAGTGATGAGTTTTCGAAAAGGATCTTCAGGTACTCTGAATTTTGCACCTTCGCAGCTGCCCCTCTGTCAGAATAACTGCAGATTTTAAGGGCGCACACAAATACATCTATACTGCTAATTTTCAAACACCTCAGTTTCATCCTCCTGCCATCATGGTTCCCTCTAAAGGAAAATGACATACTTCAGACTCTACAGACTCTTCTTTTCAGAGAGGCAGTAATTAAACTAGCCAACTATCACACCAGATCTGCAGGAAGAAGTACGTGAAATGAAAAATAAAGTAAGACTGTAACAAATCGCCAAGAGGGGTTCATTTTTTATCATAAGTACTTCTCTGAATTTTGCATACTTCAGTTTAGATTTTATTCCCAAAATGAAACAAAAGAACCTATCTATATTTTCTTGTAATAAATACCACAGCCAAGTAAGAGGTAGAGAGCAGAAAAAAATTAACCTGAGAAAAATCTGACCTTCAGTGCAGTAATGAATATCTTAGTGAGAATGGATACATTTTTACTTAATAAAAAATAAGTAAATACTAGTATTTATTTCCCCTATATTGGAACCTTTATTCCCAAAATTAATGTGACACTGTGGCCATGGAAAGCGTAAAAGAAGTTTATGTACCTTCAGCCATCACAAAAACATCTAGCAAAGATGTCCTTTTTAGCAAGAAGAAAATACCATTTTGCAATGTTGAAAAACACTGCTCTCTAGAACCTGAATTCCAAGGCACTGAGTCTATATAGAAATTAACATTCAGAAAACAGTGGTTTATGAAATGTTAAGAGCCTGGAAAGCTGCTGACTTCCACCACGCTTTTCACCACTCAAACTAATTGTGTAAGGTGCAGTGCAACTAAGAGACACCAAGCTGCTTAAGATAATCAGCAGAAAAAAATCAATAAACATCCACAGCTATGAAGAAAAAAACAACCAACCGTCAGGTAGAGAGGAACCACCCCGTGATAACAGATAAATCAATGATCCCTGTTTACATAAGAACAACTGACAAAACAAAAGCCTACTGTCCTTCCTCTTTTGTACTTTCTGAACTGTAAGGGTGACTGCTGCCTAAGCTGCTTTTGGCAAATTGTAATACAGTACCAAATAAACCAAGAATAAAGATATTTCTGATGGTAACTGAATTTTAAATAAGATTTTTAAAGGAGGTTTTTTAAATGAGAATTACAGAATGGAGTAGAAAGTAGTTATCACATTCTGATTTTGAATTATGAATTTAAATCTGCAGTACTCAAGACTGCTTTATAGCACCTCCAATGTTGATGCTATGGCTGTTGACAGTCCATACAAATATGGAATAACATAATATTCAACTCTTATCTGTCTGAACCACATACTGTAAGGAGCTGGTGTTGTTATGCCAGGTTCGCTTCAGGGATATTCCATCCAAAGAGAACTCAAAGAGCTGAGGAAATGGCACATACCACCATAAGCTGGACATATCCTTTTTTTCTTCTTTTAAATGATAGGTACAGAATTACTAATCCTCTGGTGCTCCAAGGTAAAAATGTATTGCATTGATGAACCATAATGCACTGTAATTCTATTTTTCTTTTTCTCCTTAAAGAGAAGGATGTAACTCACAATGAGCATAAAGCACAGTCCATATTCTTACTATCTTAATTCTCCAGCATGGATATGCTTCAGTAATATAGTACTGACTTTTGGCAACAGCAAATAAATTGGGCAGAAGACAAAATTGTATGGTAAGGACAGAGTATTGAAAGGTTGGTCACAGACACACTGTTAAGCAGCACCTGACAGGAAACAACACAGGTAAATGACATGGTTATTTTAATTTGCCTTGGTGAGGCAAGATCTTGTTAAGAAGGAGCTGTCTCTTTTTCCCTGTCTGCTGTTCTTCCTGCAGCACTCAACAGGCCAAGACAGCTTGCCTCCACCAGCCAACGTCTGTACAGGTTTTACCAGATAGTTTTATTACACAGTGAAGCCAATCTGATGCTGGAACTTGTAAAGGAACCATTGACACCTGGTCCAAAGGTGGAGTATGCAACATGTTTCTGTTACATCAAAGCACAAAACATTGGTGTGAAACCCACGGAAAAACACCTAACACACTCTTCTGAAGGACGTAAAATAATTTCCCTTTGCTATACTGAAGTCCATTTAAAAAAATAATTTTGAAGCAAATTGGAGTATGTCTAAAAGAAAATTTCCTTCCACATCTATTTTGAACTAATGACAGCAAAAGAGCCTGCAGATTTATTAAACAAAGCAATTTCCTATGAAAGCAAATAGAACATAAAAACATCAAAAACGTAGCTTTAACCGATATACCTCATTATTTTATTTTAGCAAGTAAGATTAGTTGTAATGATTCACCACAGTACTTTGTGGCATATTAACAAATAAATCAGTAAATACATAATAGTATAATTTATAAAAATGATGTTCACTCTGTATAATAAGCTTATGTAATGAACCTGCTGAGATGTTGGAAGAAAGTACTGGGTTTTTTCATGTCCACTCTAAGGCATTCATATACAATAACTGCAGATTAACAAGATTATATGGCGAATTACTTAAACATTCTGGGTCCAGGTAACCTGACCCAGTGTCTCATACCTAGCCCTCCAACACGTACCACATCCTTGGGTAGAAACTACAGTCACAAATTCACAGTGTCATATAAAAGTTAAAAAGCTGTGCTCACTTACAAACTGTTCAATATTTTACCAGGGCAGGAAACCTTACATGAAAAGAAGATGAAGTAATGGGCACTGGTTCAATACCTCATCCTCTTCATTTCTAAATTCTATTATTTTGTTACAGGAGTATGAAAATACAACTACAAGGGAACAGGAGAAGTACTAGAAGCTTTAAAATTCAATTATGCAACCACTTACATTTTCAACTAGGTCCTGAAGATGACCTATCTTTTCTGCAAAACTACAGCAGTAAGATCAAATGACTGCTCTGACCATAGTTACTTTTTCCTTCCCACAGAAGAATATATTCCCATTGCTTTAGTATCTACACATCTCCAAACTTGTATGCCCAAAGTTAGACCTTTAAATCCACAATAAGAACTGAAGCAGTAGCTTGATATTTGGAAGTACATAGCATTCCCAAATTCTGCAATATTAACTGCTAGGACAAGAAAGCTGCAACCTGTGGAATAGCATCAGTTCCGAAATCCAGATTAAGCACACCAGCTCTCCCTCAAAATTTCAGAGGACAGTCTTCAATACATTTCCTCTTCATAATCACAGTTTTATAGACCAAAAGTTCCATACCTGGTTGCACAGTCATCTGTGCACATCAGCATTTGGACACCTACACTACAGCACCACAATGTCTTGAGATGTGACACTCATTTCACTTTCATCTGGCTTTTCACAGACGATAAGACATAGTCAGAATACATAAGTTAATAAGATGCTTATCAGTTTCCTCTGAACTGCTAAAAATAAGTTCAGGGTTTCTCTTGTGATCTGGGCTTGGGTTCACAATAACACCATAAATGATACAATTTATTTTACCATCAGAAACAGGCAGGCAGAGACCTGCAGCCAAACTCTTTCTGACAATGCTGTCCCGAAGAGATGTCATCTTTCCCTCCATCACACGGGCTGGGGATGATGGTCTTTACTGAACCTGCAAACCCTTCCCTTGCTACCCAAGAAAAGCCCCTGCTGGCTCCTACTTTAAAAGTTCAAAAGAAAGCTATTTTCTAGAATTGGGTGTCTCATGGGAAATAAGTTTCAAAATTTTCTCTTAATGAGAAGAAGGTA